ATTATTTGGTTGTAGGCAGTTTTGCATTTTCAACCAATCCTAAAGTGCATGCATTTAAATGTAGCATTTTCCAAGTCTTAGATCAGGGCTCAGATATAATTTTGTCTGTCGCTAAAGTTTTATCTACACTGATATTATAAAAAAGGAAATATTTGATATTTTGTATTGATTGTGCTCCGACACTACTGGACCGATATTAAAAATTTTTCGAAAATTCCGTAGATGCTGGCGAATCTACGGAAACTTGAACTTCCGATTTGATAAATGCGTCAGTCATTATTATTCTTCAAAAATAGTGAAACTAGACTATCATTGTTAAATGTATGTAACTTAAATGTATAGAATCTGATATCGCATCTAACTCTTATATCGCGATCGATGTTTATGTAAGTTTTCATTAATTCACCACCTACATCATCCGTGGCATAGGCCATAATTTACGCAAAAAAAACACGGTTTTATATCATAATTAACTATCAAAATATTTCAATCCTTATTTTGATTGATATTTAAAATATTCATAAGTTTAAAATAGTTTTAACAGTGAATATGTACCTTCATAAATTGTATTGCTGCTTCTTGGAACTGCGCCGAAATATCAGGAACTCAACAAAACATTGTACAGATCCCGCGATTAACTATAATTTTAACGTAAATGACCGTGAAAGCTTAAAACAACATATAGTACGAGATTATTCAAATAATCGTTTAAGGTCAGATACAGAAACATTGGGTCGTTGTATATATTTAATAATATATATATATATTTATTGGATACACTTACGGTTTAATTATCTATTTTATGGTTTACAAATCATAATATCGTCTAAGTTTAAATAGAGTACATAAAAAACCGAAAATATTGATTAACATATATACAAAAATATATACATCGCCGTCGAACATAATAACCTCCTCCTTTTCGATTTAGAGGTAAGTTAACTAATTATAAGCTGATACCACTTACAACCACATACAGTGTTGTAACACAGTATGCTTTTCTTTAATCAATAATAACAATTATTATAGTATTAAACGAATCATAGAAAATGTGTATTTAATCGCAATATGTATTCAAATTATTAAATTTTCATCATTTTATTTAATCATATTTACAAATACTTTTAAATATTAACTTGCTGCTTGCTTTGCTTATGCTTTTTTTCGCATTTAAAGTTTTTATTGTATTTTTATATTATACTTGAGATTTACTTGCATCTATGTCCAGGAGCTTACTGTTATTATTGTCTTTATACATACACTGTAAAATATATATCAAATAACAATGTATTTACATTTATGATACACGAGAATAAATAGCAATAAAGAATATAAAATGTACCTCTTTAACCGCCACAAAAATCTTTATGATGTATTTAACTATAAAAAAAAGTTGTCATTCTTCAATTAAGGAATCCAATAAGATATGTTTATAAGAAACAAAATATTAAACATGGAATATCGTGGGCCTCCGAGGACGTTGAATACAAACAACCACATATAAGTGTATATACATATTTATTTCTATATAAGACGCTACACCGTAGCCCGTCGTAACTCGTAGCTCGTAACGTGACTACGGACGTCTTATCTAAATTAAAACCAATATTACGTTGCTCATACTGAAGTCGATGTATTTTTTTGTGTATGTTCGGCGATATTTCCGCGACTTTTTGACAGATTTTTTTTAAGTAATCTTATTCTTTTTTATTCGGCAGCTTGAAATAGAATAATTATTTTTTCTTTTATAAAAAAAAATTTTTTCCTCAGATATTACCTTAATATTTAGATATGTTTATATCAACAACAAAACATGATATCCGAAAATCCCAAAGGAGCTTTTCTATTTTCGACGGGAATGTATATTTTTATATGTGAGCAGACATGTTCATCGATTTCTTCTTGAATTGTGAACCAATTTCTATCAAACTAGCTGTTTCGCCGCGACTTCACTTACGTTAATTATAGCCTATGTCTCCCACGTATTATGTAGCTTCCAGTAGATAAAACTATTTTATAATCGGTCCAATCGTTTCGGAGCCTATCCAATGCAAATAAACTAACAATCAAATTTTCCCTCTTAATAATATGAGTATAGGTAAAATAAGTCGCGCAAATAAAATCTCCTTTTCTAAAACGTTCACTATGTGCTCATATAAGCATTCTATTATTTTGTCTTTCTCAATGGTTTGGTTCGAAAATAACCGTGTGATTTTTTACCTAATAGCTACTTGTTTTTCTATAAATGAACTTTTCTATAAAATTTCTGTATTACATGGTAAATATATTTTACTGATTCTCAGTATTATAATATTAGTAGTGTGTTATGGAAACAATACAATTCGGTTGAATATATTCAAGACAGAATAATAAAATAAAAACATATTAAAAATATGACCTTGGGCTAATAAATATTCCAATGCATCGACTTCTTTTTTGCTGTCTCTGATATTGTTTTAAGTGTGCTCTTTATTATCACTCAATAATTCTACAGTCCACTCACAAGTCGGCGATAAAAATAGTACATTTGACTTTTATTTTAATGGTAGTTGACAATATTTCCCTTTGCTTTATTTTTTAGTTGGTGCACAATGTTTCGATAAGTAGTAAACAAGCTATAAATATGTATATTGACTAAAATCGGTCATCGACGTCTGGGTACAATAGAGATATCATACGTACAAATGTGCTTTCTAACATGACATGTTTTTTCTCCTTTTATTTGCAAAATTTCAGTACTATTAAAAACCGGGAATTAAGTATTTAGCTCGGACATTTGACCCACACTGACAAACTAACACGACAAAAGCTTGCAAAAAGAGTTAAAAAGTACCTACTGTTTACAATTTACAGTAAAGACCACATATTAACATTTTTGTGCACTCATAACAAATGTTTCCTGTATATTTGAGATTCTAATTAGAAGCCCTTTTTTAATAAAAGACTAAAAAGTTTGATGCATTTTTAAATTTTCTAATTTAACCCTCAGAAATGACCTCTAAATGGATTAATAATAAAAAAAAATGAATTATTTTGTCGAGGTCTACTTTTGTGTCACCAACGTACACGTACACCAGATTTCAACTCAATTGGGTCAGTCACTTTTTTAGAGCAAGTCCAGTGTGGCAGACTAACATAAAGCGATCCTATAAAAGTTTAATTTTTTCCTTTCGTACTGGTACTGCACTGTAAAAATGTGAATAGATCAAATAGGCCAGCTGTTTTTTTTTTAGTCCCTTAATATGTGAGAAATAATGTAGAAGTTACGTGCATGCAGCATGTTGCGATTAATAGTTTCGGAGATACAGTGCTATGTGGAACTGCTGCTAGTCGGTCGAAAACGCTCCCTACAAATTCAAGGCACGAAGTAATGTGATGCCTTGACGGTAACGAAAAACGTAGAGGCGTTTGAGCAATCTTTGTATGTAGTATGTTTGATATTTATGCGTTTAATGAAAATTGTTACTTTTTATGTGAGTAATTTAATGCTATATATGTTTTAGCAAAAGTTTGTCATCTATTTTCCCTACTTTTTGAAAGCGAAATATTTTCCAAATTAGTACAATAAAATTTATTTTGTTAAATATTTATAGTTTAAAATAGTTAATATTTTCCGAACGTATAACAGAAGCCCGTATCAGTTGTAACAACCCTAGTGTAGGTGTTATTTGCAAAATATATTGTATTATGTGTCAGCTTTAGAGTACATTCAGTATAGTGAATATTTTTACTATGAGTATAAAGACCATTTGTTTTCCCATTCAACAAAGATTGAGCAATGAACAAAGATTTCTATAGACAAAGAGTATAGACATCTATATTATAAAAGGAAATATTTTATTGTTTGTTGGTCTATTTATTTTCACCGAATAGGCTCCGAAACTACAGCACTTATACACACACAGATTATATATACACAGATATAGGCTAAAATTTACTTGGAAAAACAGCTAGTTTTAGATAAATAAATAATTATAAATATAAGATAACATTTTAGAAGTGATATGGTATTTAAAAGATTGGTATAAGAATGAGGTGCTGAGCGGCGGATGTCTGTGCGCGATGCCAGGCTACCCATCGATTAACCGGCGGCATTTCTCCCGGTAATCGCGAGTGGGCCCCTCCCAGGGGCGTGCCCTCCTCCCGGAGACGCATCGAGACGCCTAAGTCCCGTATTTCTCCACGGCATAGCTACGTACCGTAGGGAGAGCATTGATCTTGCGATTTTCACCGCTTTAGATCAATAGAGGAAAAGGAATCTCTTAACGCCACTTTATCGCCCTAATGTAAAATATATAACTTAAATCTTTGTTTTTAAGAGCTACACGTGTTTTCTTTATTTAATTTTCTTTATGGAATATTAAAAACTTTTTGAAATCTTTTTTAGATACAGTGATGACCAATTTTTTTATTATATTTTTTATATTACTATCTCATAATTTTATATTATTACCTTATTTATTTAAAATGACATTGATCTCGAATGATCATTTGGTAACCCTGGAGAATCATCTAATTTTACAATGAAGAACATAGTTATCAATTAAAGAATCTATCAAACCATAGATAAAACAGATCAGTTATTTAAGTTTATTGTGTATTCAATATAAATAGTTGTTCAGTTATCATAAAAATATACAAAAATAATATTCTCATCATTTTAACGTTGCCAGTGGCCCGCAGAAGTAGTTTATAAATAGTGCATACTTAATTATCAGGATCAATATTAGATATATTCTGTTTTCTTATACAGTTACCAATAAGTATTCTTATTTTTTCGTGAAATGAAGTTGATATATTTTACTTACCTTGGTATTTTATTTTCGGTTTTAAACTTTACTTTTGCTTTTGCGAATGAATGTTGTACCTATATCATATCCGTTAAATGTATGGATATAAAATAAAATTTATTTTCATTGCTTTCGTACACCTACCTTATATTAGATATACACTTAGAAGGATCTTCCACATGCTACTAACTTTAGATTCCTTGTACACAGAACTAAGCGCAAGTATCAAACGGGAGAAGATCGTCGAGATCTGCGAGGGATGCGGCCAGAAGATTCAGGACCGTTACCTCATGCGGGTGGGGGAGCTCTCCTGGCACGAGCACTGCCTCAGCTGCTGCGTGTGCGGCTGCCCTCTCGCTCACACCTGCTTCACCAGGAACGCCAAACTCTACTGCAAACCCGACTACGATAGGTAATACCTAAATTCATAAATTAACGTGCTGCCAAAGCGAATGTCTGCTACGCGAATCGCAAAGCCAAACGCTGAGCGTGACTAATTTCTTTGTCATTTTTCTGAATTTATTATCCCATAGATTGTTCGGGGTCAAGTGCACGAGGTGCGGCGATCGTCTTCTTCCCCAAGAGATGGTCATGAGAGCTCAACAGTATGTGTTCCATATACAATGTTTCGTCTGCGTTATGTGTTGTCAACCACTACAAAAGGGAGAACAATATGTCATCAGAGCAGGACAAATATTCTGCAGACAAGATTTTGAGAAAGAAATGTATTTGATGCAACACGCCGAAGATGACATGATCATTGACGATTCGGAACGACCTCGCGATGGAAGAAGAGGTCCGAAACGCCCTCGAACCATTCTGACGTCGGCACAGAGGAGGCAATTTAAAGCCTCGTTCGAAGTGAGCCCAAAACCCTGTCGTAAAGTTCGTGAAGCACTCGCCAAAGACACCGGATTGAGCGTGCGAGTTGTTCAAGTTTGGTTCCAGAATCAGAGGGCTAAAATGAAAAAGATACAACGAAAGGCAAAACAAGAGGGAGATAAAAACAACGAGAAAGAGAAAGACAAAGATGAGAAGAATATCAAACAAGAGTCTCCATCAAGCGAACACGGGAACTATTTAGGCCTGGACGGATCTTACTCCGCGTCGAGTCAACCGCTCAATCCCAACTTACCATATTCCCCAGACGGTGAGGAGCTTACTTATTCCGCTAACAATTCTCCTGTACACTCTTTATGAAAGAAAGTAAACTTATGTATTATACATTTCAATTTCTCAGATTACCCGGCACATTCAGGAGACAGCTTCTGCAGTTCCGACATCTCTTTAGACGGAAGCAACTTCGACCAGCTCGACGAAGGGACCTCCGACACTATGAGCTTGCAAAACCTGGAAGTCCAGCATCATTCCCATCAGCATTCAGCACACTCCGCGCATGAACCGTTGAACCTCGGGACCGGCGCTGTAGTTAATCCCATAGACAAGCTGTACCTTATGCAAAACTCCTACTTCAGTACAGATCATTGATTCAGCGGGCGCGGCGGCCGCCGCCAGAGGTCCGTCCCGCGGCCGGCGCAGTTCTCCGCTATGGACTTGTGCGTACGGTCCACAGCCACCACCACAAGTCACCCTCTCAGCTACACATCCACTGAAACCACTATGAATCAAAATCACACTAGCATTTACGCAGACCAGTACCGAAAACCTTGTTTATATTAACAGGTGTAATCTTATTATTGTATATTTACTTATTCATCATTGGAAAATTTCAAACAATACAACTACGGATTGCTTCCGAAGCTAGGAAAAACAGAAGATATATATATCATGGGAAAAATTGTTAGTAGGCAAAGTGAGACTTACCGTGTAATAAAAATCTCGCGTCTGTAGAAAAATAAATCCAAATAGTACCGTAGGATAGGTTCTGTATATAAGTAGAAATAAATAAATGTCACTTTTAGGGACTATTTTGTCATGACAGATTTATGTAATACTTAACTACGTGTGATAAATTCCAAAGATACCAAATATAAAAAAAGATCTAAATTCATAATATAAGTACCTAAATATACTTAGTGTATGATTGTAAATAATGTATAAATTGCTTTGAAGGAAACAGTGTATTAAATTTTCATAATATTTTAATTTATAATTTGTGTCGTGTTGCATATTATAATTTTCGTGATTCTGTAAAGTTCACGAAAATATTGATTAAATAAAGAATATCTAAGAAATATTTTCATTAGAAATGGATCAAAATTTATTCATTTACTGATTTTTTTAATGTCACGTCATAATATGACATCATTCGCGCAGCTCCATAAGCTAAATACGCGCGGAAGTCACGCGAATAAAGGTATCTGGTAGCACTAATGTACCGTTTACACGAGATCAATAACTAAAACGGCAAAATTAGAAATCGTTCTATTTCGTTGAACTGGCTTAAGGATTCTCTACTTACATGAAGCCAATACTAGCCTGGCTTTAAGGACTATCTAGCTGCTGACCGCATGTCATGGGTCGATTATGGTATGTGTGTATGAAGTGATAAATTAGGGCATTATTGATAATTTCCGGGAATTATGAATAATAACAGACTATGGCAAAAAAGATAATTTAATTTATCAATTTTGCAAGGGCATCATGAATATCACCTACCATGATTAAATTTATTTGTAACGCGCACAGCCTACCTACATTATTGTCATCATTGCTTCTTCCAGTATAGGTTGCCTGGAAGAAATCGCTGTTAAGCGATAAGGCCGCCTATTGTGCAATAGTTTTAATATTTGTAAGTTACTCGTTATTTATTTCTGTTGTGTGTTGTACAATAAAGTGTTTTATCTTATCTTATCTTATCAATCTGATAAATATATATTATACCTACATAGGAATTGCATATTGGGGTGCGGACTGGAGAAAAAACAAGGAAGGGCTGCAATTGACTACGGAGAGACTTGTTTAAAGGAAACAAGGAAAATTTCTAAACATATATTAATTTTCAATCAATACGAAACTCTTATTGCACCTATTTGGAGAACTGTCAAGCCGCCGTATTTGACAATTGTACGATCCACAGGGTCATAGTAAACTGACACAGATGTTTCAAAATAGGTACGTATTTGAGCCTAAGGACTAAACAAAGACAGGCGTAAAACAGAGCGGTAAAAAAGGCTAAAACTGATTCTCCACTTACCTTTGTAAAAAGAAATAATGCCATAAAATGATTGTCTCAACAAAACGGGAATTAATAAAACAACAGAACAAATCACAAAGCTACCTCATAATTTGACCTAGGCTCAAAAACTCCCTCGTGATGCAGTGCAATGATTCAATAAATGATTATAAAATAAAAAAGTTTCACGATACTAATTTCGGCACATGTGAAACTACTTTCGTAACGGCATATAATCAATAGTATCACTGACTCCGTCAACATCGATGTTTTACTATGCGCAGATGCTTTTGCCATGGTTTCGCGTCACTATTTAGTTTCGCCATGTAGGTGCAGGGTTGCCACTCTTTGAGAACTAAATTCGGGACATCCGGACAGTCATTACTAGTAATCAGACTTCAGGGGGCCAATTCTACTAAATAAATATTGTTTAAATCGAATCGAAAACAGATCGACACCGTTTCGAACCGTTTTCAATTCGATTTAAACAAAATTTATTTACTAGAATTGGCCCCCTATTCAATGTAGGTAGGTCATAGCAAAATTAAAAAAATATATATATTTCATATTTGATTTGTTTTTTACTTTTTGTTTCGATATTGGCAGTTGTGTAATTTAGGCACGGTGTTATAGACAGAGTAAAACAAATATTGAAATGAATTATAGATCATTTATTTGATGCACACCGTATTATCGGAAGGTGACAATTACAAAAGACTATAAAAAATCTTATAACAATAGAACATCGTAATTAGGTTCTATATTAATAGTAAACCTATTTGGTTATTTATGTTTTGTATTAAACAGATTGGGGGCCTAAGCCAAAACTTAAACATAACCCTTTTTTTATTAATTACTCAAATATTTAAAAATTATAAATTAAAATATTAATCTTCTAAAGGAAAAGGACAAACTTTCATTAAACTAGTTCTTATAATAGAACCTTTAGAAGTTTTTACATCTAATGCTCTAACTTTACCATCTTTACCTGGTAATACATTAACTATACGCCCAACTGGCCAATTCAAAGGAGAAATATTATCTTCTTTTAAAAGAACCATTGTTCCTACATCTAAATTAGGTTTATTACCTTTCCATTTTGGGCGACTTTGCAACATTACTAAATATTGAGAATGCCATTGTTTCCAAAAATGTTGCTGCATTTGAGTACACTGTTTCCAAAAACTCAATTTACCTACATTTACATTCGTTAAATTTAATTCAGGATAAGCCACTAAAGAGGATCCTGTGAGAAAATGTCCAGGTGTCAAATATGACATATCATCCTGGTCTCTAGACATGGGCGTCAAGGGCCTCGAGTTTAATATACTCTCAATCTGAACTAATACAGTATACAACTCTTCATATGTTAGAACAGAATTAGCAACTACACGTTTAAGATGAAACTTAATACTTTTTATGCCAGCTTCCCATAAGCCACCAAATACAGGCGAATAAGATGGTATAAAATGAAATGCTATTCTTTCTGAATTACAATAATCAAATACTTGATTTTGGTGGTTACCAGAATTCTGCATTTCAAAAAGTTCATTTAATACATTATTTGCACCCTTATAATATGCAGCATTATCACAATATATTTTTGTAGGTTTATTTCTACGAGATACAAATCTTTTTAAACATGCTAAAAATGTATTAGTTGTCATATCTGACGCCAATTCTATATGAATGGCTTTTGTAGTGAAACAAACAAAAATTACTACATAAGCCTTCGTTATAACAGGCTTACGAATTCGACTTTGCTTGATATAAAAAGGACCTGCATAATCAGTACCTACTATTTGAAATGGACGAGTAATATTGACTCTATCTACAGGCAATGCACCCATCAATTGAGTAGCTGCTTTAGCTTTCAACTTAAAACAAATTATACATTTATGTAAAACAGACTTAATTTCTCTATTAGCATCAATAAGCCAATATTTATCTGATAGACTACTAAGAACCAACTTTAACCCAGCATGTTTGAGTCGTAAATGTTCTTTTAAAATAATTAATCTAGTTATAAAAGATTTCTTAGGCAAAATAATAGGATAGCATTGTGAAAAAGGTAAATTGGAGTTACTTAATCGTCCTCCCACTCTTAATAAACCTTCAGAATCAATAAAAGGATTTAAATTATTCAAATTAGATTTTAACTCAACATTTTCTTTTAAAGATTGAATTTCTTTAGAAAAATACTTTCTTTGCTCTAAATTTATAATAGTATGTAGGGCAAAAGTTAACTCTAGTGGACTCAAATTACCTGTACACTTAGCCGTATTTTGCTTACAATTATTTATAAACCTTTTTATGTAACAAAATATAATTGTTAACTTTTCAATATCAGAAAACTTTTCTAAAATGTTATACAATGAATTCAAATTATTATTACATGCATTACAAGTCTGTAAAACTGTTTTAACTTCTGGTAATTCAGAAGAAATTGGTTTCACAATTTCATTATTAGAATGTGTATATTCATTATTCAACAAAAATTCAGGACCATGAAACCAAAGCTGACCCAATTTAGTTTCACACATACTTGGCGACATACCCTTTGCTAAAATATCAGCAGGATTATCTTTTGATCTTACATAAAACCATAAAAAGTTTTCAGTTAATTTCTTAATCTTTTGCACTCTATTGGCAACATACATATTTAATCTTACTGGTTCAGTCTCTAACCAAGCAAGTACTATCTGTGAATCCAGATATAAAAATGTTTTTATATCATATTTTAAAGATAATGTCTTATGAACTTTATTAACAAGTAACGCTAATAATAAAGCACTATTCAATTCTAATCTAGGAACAGTTAAATTTTTATCTTTAGGGTTAATGCGACTTTTAGAACATAATAAATTTACTTTTACATTACCACTTAAATCTATAATTCTTATATATAAACAGCAACCATAAGCAATATTAGAAGCATCAGCAAATCCAACTAATTCAAATTTACAATAGGATTTTATATTAATATTACGTGGTATTGATATACATGACATTTCTACCAACTCTTTTGCAAACTCAAACCATTTTTCATTAAGTGAATTGGGTAATATATCATCCCATTTTAGGTTAGCATACCAGATTTGTTGCATAATATATTTAGCTTTAACTAAGATAGGTCCAATCAAACCTAACGGATCAAAAAATGTGCTTATAAAACTTAATACTTGTCTTTTGGTATAATTATTTAACACCTCAGTCTTAGGACATTTCATGTTTAATGTATCATTACCAACATCATAACTTAATCCCAATGTTTTTATACATTGATTATTTTTATCAAAATTAATTTCTTTAAAAGTATGTGACTCAGTAGGAATATCTTTCAATAAATCTT